TGGTGAAAGTTAAAACCGACGCCCCCCAGCCGGCTGCCAGAGGGGCGGGTGAGACCCCGCTGAGCACTTCTATTACATTTAATTGGGGAGCCATTTGCACACACCCTCCCCAAGTGAAAACACACACATTCATTTTTTAGGTCAGATCCAACTGTAATTAACCATCTTGATGAATAAATGCCAATTTCAGGTCTGTGCATCTGAAATGGCAGCAAATTGGAGCAGGTCTTCCCCAGTCCTTACAGAGTTTAGCTGACAAGGCACCTGTTTAAATAAGACCACTTACACTAATGGGTATATGTTTTTTAAGAGAACAAACTGGTTTCCCTGACTACTTATTACAGACCACTATAAGTGGTCAGACATAATGAGAATATTTTTATAAAAACAAAAGGGGACCAGCAAGTAGCACAGTGGTTGAGGTGCTGGACACTCCCACTTGGCCAACCAGTTTGAGTCCTGGACCTGGCAGCTTGCTTTCTCACTTTCCCTCACACTCTCTCTCTCTGGTCAAATTAAAATGAATGAATGAATAAATAAAATGACATAAATAATTCTTTTTTTGGAGAGGTTTTTGCTATAGGGCACGTGTGCTCGCCAGAAAGAGAAAGACAGGCAGAAAGCAAGAAATTACCCCCCAGGGAGATGGCCACACTGCAATCTCTTCACTTCCATTTTCTTGGGATCTTGGGCACACACGCATATGTGCCCGGCTTGAGTTTAAGCCACTGGGCCTGGGACTCAAACTGCAGTCGACTACATGAAAGTCTAGCAACATAGCCATTATGCCAACTTCTGCTTCCTAAATAAATTATTCTTTTTTTAAAAAAAGTAAATACAATGCAGTGGGGAAGTGAGAAATCTAACGGCAGAACAGGCTGTTTTTGCAGCTGCGGAGGTTTTTGAGTCCCCAGTGTCCCTGCACAGAGCAGGTCTTCCAGGAAGCGTTTGCTGAGGGACTGAATGAGGAACAAAGTGGGACCATAAGAAGCAATTTACTCAGGGTGAGAAGTTGGTAATACAAGGCGTACTCACCGTGGGGTTTTCCATGATAAACAGAAGCTAGAATTTTTTTTTGTCCATAATACATAGTTGAGAAACTGGTTGGATTCTTTGAGGTGCAGAACACCCTGCACTCTGCTTGCGTGAACAGTATAAGGTATAAAATATGTACATTTGCAGGGATCAGCAGATGGTGTAATGGCTACATTGCTGGACTCCCATGTAGTCGACCGCAGTTCCAGTCCCAGACCCGGTGCCTTGAACTCACGCCAGGTGTGTGTGTATGTGCGTTCCCAAGAGGAGAATGAAGGAAAAGGGACTACAGTGTGGCCATCCTCCCGAGGGGTGATTTCTTGCTTTTTGCATCTGTCTCTCTCTCTTTCTCTCTGGCAAGTGCACATGCCCTATAGCAAAAGTTCTCTCCAAAAAACAAAGTACATTTGAATTTTTCTTTTTTTTAGAGATTTTTGCTATAGGGTACATGCGCTCACTGGAGAGAGAGACAGATGCAAAAAGCAAGAAATCACCCCTCGGGAGGATGGCCACACTGTAGTCCCTTTTCCTTCATTCTCCTCTTGGGATCTTGGGCACTCTCGCACCCGGTATGAGTTTTAAGCTGCCAAGTCTGAGACTCAAACCACAGACAACTACCTGGGAGTCCA